AAAAAACCTATGAAAGCCAATAAAACATCGTAACCAAGGGACTGACAACTTACTTGGTCAATATTTTGAATATGTTGTCTCTAGCTTGACTTAGAAGACAAATGTTTTCATGTATCTGAAAAGTGTGAGAAACAGATAAAATCAGTTATGTGTAGCAGAAAAAAAAAATAAAAAAAAATTGCTGCACCAGTAAAAATATTCAAAACTGATAAACATGAGTAGAAATAGAAACCAATAATCTAGTATGGTCAGGAAAAAAAAAAACAAAAATTATTAAAAAAGGCATATGAAAGCTTTACCTGATGAGTGGCAAGATTTGTGGATATCTGTTTAAAAACCCAAGCATTTTGCTGCAGCAGCTGACGAGCAGCCCCACGTGCATCTGCATACAAATTATCGATATATTGAGGTCCTAAGGGACAATTTATGTGCATAAAAATTGTAACTCAACATTTCAAATGCCGAATTTCATGTTCTTCTAGTAAACCATTTTACAATCTATTCAATTTGTAGTTAGATCTACACTCAAATCACTTTTTACAATCTTTCCTGTACTTTTTATGTATCTGAAGGAAAATGGAAAAATCTAAGCTGAATGATATATTTGAGAATAAACAATTTACTTGAAAACTCATTTGGCCTGAATTTAATTTAGACCATGGAATTATCAATATAAATTTTTACTAAATTATTTAAACAACACAAATATTCCATATTAAACAGAACATGTAGTTTCTATGCAGCATGGATGATCATAGCTAAAAAATTGAAGTGACGCTAAAGAAAACAAAGATATCTTAGATTCAAACCGTAATGAATATTTCAGAAAATGAGCCAACCATTGTACGAGATAACTTCATCATTGAATTTAGAAACCAATCCATGAGCATGAGATAAACCCGATTGGACACCTAAGCGAACAGGCTTTGCCAAAGAATCGATACCCTTTTCCTGACAAAAAAATGTAAAATATTCCTTGAGCCGATTGAAATAAATAAATAAAATATATATGTGAATTGAAACATATTAGAATAAAGAACTTACCTTTCTGTCTTTGATTTTCCTAGCATTGAAGTCCTCTTTCCTTCTCTTGGTAATATCTTTCTTCTGCAAAGTTGAACCAGTTGCTCAACATAAGTACACTAAAATAACAATTATGCGAATCAAATTCATCACTGACTAATGAATACCAATGACATGTTATCTTCAAGTCAGTTAGTGAGGATCTTCTAATAGTGACACACACATGGTTATAATAATGAAACAAAAAACAAGGAAGAAAATAAATAAACAAATAAAAAATTGATAGCATAATTTGTAAGAATAAAACTCACGGTCATCCATCTACAGCGCAATGCCACGTCACGCACGGTTTTATTTCTTAGCTGGACAGCAATCTTTGCGTATCGGATAATGCTCGTCTCAGAGGCATATCTACATTTTTGTTCATAGGAATCCACAATTCAATAGGTCATTTAATTTAATTTGTGAGATGATTCAAATTTGGCTATGATAAAATAATTGCACTAAAAGCACTCCAGTGAATTGATTTGTAGTACCACAGAGCACTGTGAATGTGGCTATATATTTGCCAAAATGGGTGCTAAGGAAAAGTCATGCAGATGTAAAGGGGATATAATCTTAATTAATAGAATTAAATGAAAATGGCAATCATACATCTCAACTTTCAGATCCCCTGTCTTCCCTTCTACTAACAACAACAAAGAGAGAGAGAGAGAGAGAGAGAGAGAGAGAGAGAGAGACTGTTTTAGCCAATAAAGCAGCCCAAGAAACATGAATAAAAGAAGAAAAACAGATATTATAGCCCAGAAGAATTACAAACAATTATTATTAGATCTATGCAGAGAAATTAAAACTTGAATATGTGATTGATTTAAATCTGTTAGATCACACATTTCAATCTTCATGACTAGTATGTTCCCTGTTGAAGGAGATAATAAAGCAGAATCCACTGAAAGAGACAAAAGCATCTATTCGGAGAA